AGGTCCAACAGCCATTTGTCACAAACAAGAAATGTCCGCCCATTTAATCAAGACAACGATACTGACGACGCAATGGGTAAGCTAATTAATGAAATGAATGGAGTAAGCAAGGACAGCCGGGAAGAGGTTAGGGAGCTGTTAATGTTTACGTGTCGGGCGTTTGTCAAACTGTGACTGCCCACTGATTGGACATGTTACGGCCCCTTCATTTGGGCAGGCTGCATAAATAGATGAAGATATACAGAATAATAAAGACTATTTTTTCAGGGGAGCGTGAGTGTGATCTCAAGCTTCATTTTGTTTTCACATGCTCAACCCCTTGTGGACTCCCAGTAGCACAAAGACACCTCAGGGAAGCTTTGGCCTCACGAAATCCTGACGCATGAGGTGCAGAAACCCCAGAAAATAACCTGAGACAGAAGCATTTTTATGTGACAAGGAAAAAAATTGGATAATGGAACTCTTTACTTATAGACTCCAATGTATTGTTTTATAAGGGATGTACACTGTGATACTGCAGCAGCTGCTGTATACAATTGAACTGAATCTATTCATTGCAATCCAACAGAAAATTAAGCTTTTCTTCGCAGAAATATTAAACTCTTTCATTATAGTTGACGTAATGCTTCTTCTTCAAATGAAACTGAAATTGTTTGAGTTATATACATTTGGTTAAACTAAACCAGGAATATATTTACTGTTTTTTTACATTTTATTTAAGAAAATAATGAAAAGAATAGTTCATTATGGACATTTTAGTTGCATCCCCTTTATACAGCGAATAAGGGCCAACCAAAATAAATATTGATATTAAAGTGAATTAATTAAATATACTTTAAACTTAAAATGGCAATTTATAATGTTGGCAATTATGAAATCAGCATAGCCGATCCCCTTTGTATACAGGAATAATCACCGACCCAGTCCTCATTTTAAAAGCTTCATTCATAATAACATCACAGGAAAGCGGATGATTAATTCTCTATGCTTTCATCCTCACACTGTATATTTGCATATTTTATAGATGCAGGCTAATTAAAAGGGAAAACACAAGCACTGCAGGTCAAAGCACTATAGAACAAAGCCCATAGCTCAGGTAAATGTAATTAGAAATTATATAAAGTGTCCCCACAGACTGAGATTGATGTGTTCTGACAAAGTCAAATAAACGGCACAGTATGCAGACTCTTTTAGTCTCCTTTCCCCCCACTCCTTTTTTCCATGTTTGCACGTTAAAGTTAAGCAATATCCGTTCCCAAATGTCACAGTTCATAATGTTTCCTGCTCTTTCCACTTCTGTGAACATTTGGAACACAGATCACCTGATATCACTTCATTTTTGCCGTCGTGGCACTCAAGCATCCTTCTTCATTTCCATCCAATAAGATGTTATACCTGTCCCTGTGTGAGGGAGTCTGCTCTCATGGCTCCATGGTCCTCTCCCCCTCTTCTATTTTGGCATGCCTGTGCCAGGTATTTGTTCAAATTCCTCACACCCCGCGGGGATAGGTATGTCCCCCCCTTTCCGACCGTCCCTCTCTCATCTTTACAGCCTGTCTCTGTCTATCTTATGTACGCCAGCACATGTATGAAGCAGCCAACGTGGACTCCCCGCCACCAACATGAGGCACACAGCCTATTTTACTGGCAAGTCACAACTAAATCATTTCCAAGTTGTTCAGCTTCTTGAAGCTGGCAAACCACAGCTGTGGGTTCCACGACGGCCTGGCCAAAAACAACTCGTTGGATAACAGGCAAGTTGCTTTTGATAACTGAAAGACCCGTTTATTCTCTGATGTTGTCAGAGCTTGAGGTCAGGCCACTTATTAGATCGACCAGTTAAACTTTTCTCTGACATGGAAAAATGTTGATACAGGCAAGTATACTGGATAATTAATTTCCTCTAAAATATAAACACCAAATCATGAATCCCTCGTGGGGGTGTGAGGCGCCTTGTGTTTGAACATGAACTGATGTGCTATTGACATTGGGTCAGAGTTGAAGCGCATTAGTTATTGCTGTGCGTCATGAAATGACAGCAAATACCGATGTAACGCTGGCTCGGCACGTTTGTCTCCCTGTCCTTCAAAAAGGGAGTCCGAACTCAACAAAGTCAAATTCAATTTTACTGAAAGAAATATCTGTGCAGATTCATATTTTTTCTTTCATTTTTCAGGTATAAATCAGAAAAGGAGGCATGGCTTTCGATTGCCGCTGTTCTGTTCAAGGGGAGTAACCCCATGACCTTTGGGTTTGCAGAAATGATTTTTTTAACTGCCAATTCAATATATACGGTCTGTACTGACCTCTGTGTTTATTAAAGTTGCAAGAAAAACACTCCAGAGTGCAAGAAGGAGCCACAGATCACCATCCAGGTTTTTTATGCCTCTCCACTGATGTGCTATTGTTAGGGGTCACAGTAATGCTTTTTATTTTTCATTTGAACCTGCATGTGTATAGACAATGAATGCATCATTTTATTTTTGGTACTATTGGCAAAGTTGTTTTTTTTATTATGTATTTTATAGTTTATCTTGCTCCCTACAATCTTTTGTGAGATCAAGAAGGCTATATGCATTAAAGTACATCAGCAGTGTTAACTCAATAAACCCAGGTTTTATAAACCCATCGCAATAAATTGTGACTTATACAGCAGAACATTATTTAGCCAAAATATGATGTTATGATACCATTTATGGTCAGATTCTTGCGTTTTGGGGAAATTCCTAGCAGTGAGTTCACTGTTAGATTTATGCCTTGCTCAAATGTATTGAAACCATTAGAGTCATCAAAGCGTGACCAAACATTCGCTAAACCCCACTCCCTTACATGACTATAAAATACAAAATGTAAAACTATTATAAAACATATTATTTGAATCGGTCTACTTTAAATTCTTATAGCCTTACTCAGGAGAAATGTGGGCTGCAGCAGTCATAATTTAAAGCAACTGTAAACTCTCTGTAATTAGGAATAAAATGAAGGTTTTTAAAACGTGGTCTTCCTAGATTCTTTAACATGTTCACGTAGATTTAGACCACAAATGCCATTTGATATGGAAAATCTGACTTTTTCTGTAATTGCTATCTACATTATATTTGTTGGACAGTAAAAAACCCAGGAAGGTCATTGTTAAATATTCTGCTTCCTAATGATAAAGTGGGGCTCCCTGGACCACATCAGGCCAACACATATTCATATTCATTATGCAGGAGAAGCCCCCTCTCTCAGCATCCCATCCCACCCCCTTTCCACTCACACACACTGCTCTCCCCTTGACTCAGACACATCACAGACTGCAGTGATCAGGACACAGTGCAGAGAAGTTTGGAGGCAGATTGTCGCCACATACTCCTCCAGCTGAAGATAAATAATCCTAAATCTCCTGCCTGAAGAATTCTGAGGGATATTCCAAAATGGGAACGAAGATTTTCCTCAAAACAAATCCATGGAGTATTTATTTTTCAGCGTCCGGGATTCAAATGTTTTAAGGTAGGCTTTAGACATACATCTAGCGAATTACTCACTGGTTCATATATGCGATTTGATTTTTGGATTACACGTTATGTTTCTTTAGCGTTCATAGGGCCCAAATGCAGGCCGTTATGCAACAGTAGGCCTTAAGTAAACTGTTTATCAGGAGATTAATATTGACATATGAATAAAGACCTTTAACATGAAACCAGTTTTCTCCTTAAATATGTGGCCTAAAATAGCCTAGTTTTTATTTTGAGTAAAATCGCAATGTTTTCAAATATATGTTGCGTTTCCCTTATTGAATTATGTGGCTTGGTGCGTTTTTTTTGGATAAAATATAAAACTAAAATGTATACAATATATTTGCGTCTAAGAATAAATGGAATTTGGTATCTAAAGCTGTCGTTATAAAAAGGCGAACAGCTGTTATTTAAAGCGAGCCGGTGAGGTATGAGGCGCGCGCCCCGCGGGGGTTCGGCTACTGCTCCACAGCTCCTCAGTAGCTCTTAACCCCGGTGCTGCCCGGGTCACCATGTGTCACACAGACCATTTCTGTCATGCACCCCGTGTCTGCTTTGATGTTTTTTTAAATGACACCTCTCCACAAAACCATCAGTCTTGAAGTAAAGCAATAAGCTCGTCCCACGACAGGCAGAATAACACCACAAGAAACATCGTTACATATATTTTCTCGCTTTTCTCCCGGTGCAGGAATCTGTATCAGGCTAAAATGTCAGCTCATCCTTTCAAATTAAATAAAGTCAAACAGTCCGCCTCACTGCGCTATCCGCTGACTCGGCAGAATTTCACGCACTGGTCCACATCCAAACCACCGATGCGTAAAAACGCACAACATAAATCTCAGCAATCTTAACGAAACCATTGCCATTAAGAATTTGTGCGCACAAAAATATACAAGTCGTTTCAGCTCTTTAATGTTTCTCACACTTTGTTGTGTTCCAATTAGCCTAATTGTTGTCCGACTGCTGACCTTAAGAAGAAGCAGGCTTTGGGACGTTTCTAGATTTACAGCCTTCAGTTCGAGCCCTCCTACTCCGAAAATCCAATTATTTTACTAAAACCATGACTGTCTCGCCTGGCTCCCTTTGAAACTATAAAACTGTAAAGGCTGTGCCAACCAGAGCAGGTCTCTCAAACATAAACCATCCTCGTTTTGCTGACATTTTCATTTCTACTACATGTTTATATGACTTTATTTACTTTATCTGGTCTCATGATTCACATAAATCGCTTTGCAGCACCCTCAATAGATTAAATCAGTTTTAGCTGTGCTGTCCTTAAGAACTGAGTCAAACAAATAACATTTTCAGAAACCAGAGAATAAATCAAAGAGGAAATTATGAATGTAAATTAACAAAATATATTTTTGTTCTCTCCCCTTTTTTCCTTTTGAACCACCCCTCCTCCCTCCTCTGCTTCTTTTACTTTGAACCTGAAAAAGATCGCTTATGAAAGTCACTCCTGCTTTCTCTTAATCTTGAACCTTTATATAATTTAACATTATGGACCTCTCAGGCTCTTTGCCTCCACCGTCCCCTTACACCTTCCCTATTATCCCCAATATCTCTGTGCCCTCCCCCTCCCCTTCCCTCTCCCCATCACCCAGTGTTGCCTCCACAGCTCTCTTCTGCTCCCTCCTCTCCCTCCTCTCCTTGATGGGCATCACAGGAAACCTGTACACTATGGGCCTTCTGTTGAGGCGCAGGAGAAGTAGACGACGTGGAGCAGGACCGACCTGCTGCCTAATGAGAGTACCTGTGCCATCATGCCTCGCCAACTCCTCCCCGTCCTCCACCCCCATCTCCTCTGCCTCTCCCTCCTCTTCTCTTCACCTCCAGGTGCTGAGCCTTGCTCTTGCTGATCTGCTCTACCTTTTCACCGCTCCCTTCATCGTGTATGACAGTCTGGCGTCCGGCTGGGCCTTCGGGGAGCCGGGCTGCCGCCTCCTCCTGAGCCTGGACCTCCTCACCATGCACGCCTCCATCTTCACCCTCACCGCCATGAGTCTGGACCGCTACAGGGCGGTGGCACATCCCCTGCACACCTCCTCCTCCAACTCCTCCGGCCTGCTGCGTGTAGGTCTGGCCTGGGGCCTGGCTGTGGCCCTGAGCCTGCCCATGATGATCACTTTGCACCTGGAGGAGGGGGAGAACCAGGAGGGCCAGCTGTGTGTGCCGGCCTGGGACGAGCAGAGCTCCAAGGCCTATCTGAGCGTGCTCTTCTGCACCAGCATCCTCGGACCTGGGCTGGCCATTGGAGCACTTTATGCAACTCTAGGCCGGCTTTACTGGGTGTCTCAGACCAGGCCAGCCTGGGCCAGTGGGGGCAGCTCGGCTTGTCCTCCCCGTGCCCCCAAACCCAAAGTCCTGCTTCTCATCCTGGGTATTGTCCTGGCTTTCTGGGCCTGCTTCCTTCCTTTCTGGATCTGGCAGCTGCTGCCTCTCTACCAGCCCGACATGCTGCGGACAGTTCCAGTAGGGACGCAGGTGACAGTCAATCGAATCCTCACAGGACTGACATTTGGAAACTCATGTGTAAATCCATTCTTCTACACACTATTGACTGGGAAACGAAGACGCAACCGGCAGGCGCTGACATCAGCAAATCAGCTGTGCCGTAAGAGCAGTCCGATGCAGTAGTGTGTCTGTCTCTAACAGTGGAGACAGTAATGTGACAACCATGTACATGCAATAGGAGTTCAATAATAGGAACCAAAGATCATTGATTTGTCCTTAGCAAATGATAGCACTTTGTATAAATGCTTTGTGAAAATACTTCCTGTTTGGAGACAATCAAAAGGACAATCTAAATGAATGCTTTATCCTTCTCCATACTTTGATGGTCATATGATAAGTGTTGTAATGGTAAAGCAAATAACCACAATGGCATTTCTAACACAAGTGCTTACTACAGTAATTACTTCTGCAAAGTAACTTACCCAAATCAACAGATTTTATAAAAGAGGAACGTTTTTAATAAACAGAATCCTGTACTGTATGCAGTAATAATAGAAGGGAGGAGTTTTGTGCTGTATGCTGCGATGCACAAGCATTTCCAGTAAAACCCTGATTCACTTCTGCTTGTTTTCAGAAATGTTTAAGGAAGATGTTTGTTTTTAAACAACTGTCTGAGACTGGTCAGAACCTCGTTGGGTCATTTTTCTGAGACAGTGTTTGTTGACTTAATGAATTATGTTGGAGCATGTCAACAGTCTTTTGTTTTCTTCCCCTGAACCCCTACATATCTAAAACAACTGACTTTTTATATAATCATGACCTGCATGTTGGGTTTTTTGTAATCATGCAATGCTTTGCATGGCTTCAACTTGTGTTGATTGTAACTGGTGTTTATAATAATGCATAATATAAAGCTTTGAATAAAGAGTATGCTTTCTGTTATTGACTGTGTGATCGGATCCTTATAATTAGGAAAAAAGGAGGAAAACCTGATAGTGTTTGGCCTTTCAAAAAAATCACAACAGATTACATAATACTGCGTTTGACAATAATAGACGTGAAAAAGAAGAAAATCTGAGAGACAGCAATTATGAAGCTAAGCAAAGGGATTATATATGTATAGATATTCGAAGAAAAAAGACACAAAAACTTAAAAGTGCTCAGTATAAAAAAAAAATCCTGGAGTTGCATTCTCACGTTTTGTTTGTGTGTCTGTGTCAGCATGTCAGGGACTCTGGAAGGTCTTCCCCGGTCTTGTGTATACACTCGCTGGCTGGTGTCTCTGTGTCTCCCTCAGCCGCGGCCTGTCTCCGTCTGCCCGACTCAAAGGCTGCACTGTGCTGAAGCTCCAACCCTGCTGCTTTTTGACGCAGATGAGCAAATATTGTTGTTCAACACAGAGGAGAAAGGATGGGGATGAGATGATGGGACAAAAGAGGACATGAGGGAGGGGGTTGTTTGGGTTTTGGATGCTGACCATGTGACTGTAGGTCTCTAGTTTGAGTCCAGCAGGGGACTATTGTGGCACATCATTGTTTGTTACTCGTCACCTACGGAATACTTCTGATTAAGATTTTTTAAAAGCCCTAGCAGAGGAATTTTAGACAAACCTGCAGAAAATTAAACAAAATAGAGACACTTCATGAGACACTTCGTCAGGATAAATCATATCTTGCAGAATTCAACGCAGAACAACATTGACTCTTTGTAATTTTTAGCGGACGTTATTTAAATGTAGTTCTTATGGACGACAGGCGGCGCACATGCTAGCGCTGTCGGCCCATGTATTGCCTCCCCCATTCAAACATTTCTCCATAATTTATTTTCTAATTTCTTACATGTTTCAGCATATCTGCATCTGTGATGACGGATGTGAACTTCCCCTTAAGCATACACACAACATTATAAGTAAAACTATCCATAATAAACAAGAACATTAATTGTCTAAATTGTTTTATCAAATAATTTCTGAGGTTCTAAAAATACAAATTTAAAATGTTTTTCAAGTTGAACAGTAGAAAACCTGAGACAACTTTACATAAAATAAATCAAATGCTGTAAGTCCTCAATACAAACATGTTTAATAATGTATTCATTCCCATAAAGAAAAAAAAGAATTTAAATCCACATTTTAAAAACAACAATATAGTACTCAAAGGGAAAAGACTCTGAATAATATTCCAGACCTCCATGTAATTTTGACAGAGCACAGGCAGCGCAGATTAAGAAGGGACAGTGATCAGTTACATTTTCTAATTTCATCACTGGGTAAAGATATATTTATTTGACCACCCAGGTAAAACATATGCACCATTAAGCTCTATTAACTGTGGTTTACTGTGTTTTGACTTGACATGCAATACTGTACCATAATCACCAGGTAATGGACTTTGAGTGATTTCATGTTAAATGCATTGTAAAATGAGACTTGAATAATGCTAGGAAAACATTATTATAGTGTGGGTTTATTTATTTGCACATAAAGTGCAATTATGTAGAAACATTAACTGAGCAGAAGATAACCTGAGGGCAGCAGGAGAAGCTGCATTGGTAATACCAACAGGTTTGAGGGACGCATACCAAAAGCATTTGCCAAGGCAGCTTGCACGTTTCTCTGCACCTGTGATGCCAATTTTTCTGAGGCTGTAGGGCCCTTCTGTAGTCCATACTGCCTACCATGTGTTTCCATTTACCTGTGGCTACCTCGGAGCATAACGTTCCCACTGCAGTTGTTATCCAGAGCTCTGTGCGGCCACACCACAGGGGGGGCTTCTGTTGTGAAGTTAATGCAATATCCATCCACCTTTCACAGACAACTGAGGCCCTCTCAGCACATTTACCCATTTAAATGGAATTTCTTGTAGACAAAGAGCCAGCTCCATGTATGTTTGAAATCATGAGCCCTCATATGACATGGTGATTTTTGGACCCCTGGGTCATACCAAAATGACAGAAGATGGAGGGTGTAGCTTGTGTAAAGATGAAATCCTTCCAAAGAAGACACTTAGCACCGGTGTGGATATGAATGCACAGCAAGCTTAGATTTTCCTGAGTCTGCATGGTGGACAGGTTTTGGGAGACTGCATATTCTAAAACGTAATATATCAGATGATTAAGTTCTGCCTCAGGTCTACGGGGATGACTGAGTGTTTGATAAACTTCAAATACATGGTGTTTAGTCAACCCAACCAAATGGATGGAAAATATTGTCTCAGTTGGCAGGCTGGTCCATCTATAAACTTTGTGTTGTTTGTGTTGGTAGTTGCCAGCTCCTACCGACTCGCTCCAATCATAACTTTTGTCTGTAGTCGCAACAGAAGCTTTTCATTTTGTCCTGAGATTCAGGCAGTGTACTTCTCTAGGCTCTCATCTACGGGGAAAACACAAGGACAAATATTTTCTTGTGGGAACGTCGCTCTGTTCCACCTGAAGATTTCATAAATCCAGCACATGTCCGTTTCCTGGAATCATCAAGCATCTTCCCATCCCACAGCCGTTGCCCCGCCTCTCCTCTTGACCAGTGTTTGAGGCTGCTGCAGGTGCCCCTCCCCTGGGCAGCCCGCTCAGGAAAGCCCCCCGCTGGGTAGACGAGACGAACCCGCAGCCCGGGCCAAATTCACGCTGTGAGGTGTATAAGAGGCTCCCATTCTCTCCAGACATACACAAAAAAGATTTCCTTCGCACTCCTCCTCCGCCTGCCCTCTAAAATTCAATCTTCCCATCTGTTTTCCCTCTCTCAATCACTTTTTGTCCCCTCCACTCTTTCTTCCTTTTCCTATAGTCTATAGGCAAAGGAAGGGCATAGGTATTCCTCTGCATGGCCTCACGTTTTATGACGTTAATAAGTCAAAGTTTTCGCAATGTAAATAACAAAAACTCTTAGGTGGTACTGAAATATCCACAAATTAACTCAATCAACTTTAAAGACATCCAACCTTCTGTAACATCTGTTTAAATCAGTTGTCAGTTCAAGTTTTACGATACCGCACATGTAGTCAACACGGTATTAAAAAAAACTGTTTGTAATTGCTGGTTTGACAGCAAACACTGAAATCTGGGAGCTCACAGTGTTTCTTTGTTCAATCCATGGCAACCTCACCATGAGGCGCCCTCCTCCCCATCGCGTACCCTGACTTCACACCTCAGTGTCAGCCGCCAGGATCAGGCGAGACCCAGGCTTGTGTGCCTTGAAGGCCGGAGGTTACATCAACCAACATACACATTACGGTTCACACTTGGGCTCTTACTAGGAAAGACAGTAAACATGGCACGTCTGCCCACCTCGCTCCTTCTCCCTCTCCCTGAGTTTCACCTTCCCTCTGTGCCCCCCTTTCTCCTCCTCCTCGCTGCCTGTAAACAGTCATCCCTGTCAACTCAGGCGTCAAGCTCCCCTGACCTCTGACCTTCTGACACTTCACTCATCTGAACCCCATGATTTGTTCGTGCATGGAGGTCATGACTGAGGAGGGACATTATGTATTTCCATGGCACAGTTCAATAATAGAAGCCTGTGTGGATTATTGTGAATAAGTACGAAAACGATAAGTTTAAACATTTAACCGTAACTATTTCCATACAAACTTTTAAAGAAGAAATACTAAACTTAGTTCCAACCCTTTGATTTGGAAGATTTACAGAAACTTATTTTTGGGGTGTTATGGAGTGTTAGTCAGACAAAGACATTTCAACACATAACCTTGGACATTAAGAAATGCTAATGGCTCTTTTATTCTGACACTCAAAACTATGAACATAATATGCAGATTTCTTCATAATAAAAAGAACTGTTAGTTGCCGAATGTGAGTCTCAAAGAAAGGTATGGCAGCTATGAGAATTTTTGTTCAGTTGTGTCAAAATTAAACATTCATTTATAGGTATTGAAGTTATGGCAAAAAGTAAAAACAGTAATTGTAACAGCTGTAACATTACTTTCCTATCTGAGAGGGAGGTGGGAGATTGAACAGCATGGTGTTTAGAATTACAGCACCACCTGTGGGTGAAATATAAGAACTTCATATTTGAAACCAAACATTGTTTTTTAACACTCTTCAGTAGATTAAGACAGCTGACAACTGTTGTGTTCATTACAGCTCCACATCAAGAATTAAAAACATATATATATATATTTTTTTTTAAACAAATATTTCTTAATCTGTTTTATCCATAGACTGTATATATATCATTTTATCATATGTTGGCATAGTGTCTTAAAAGTGAAATATATCAAAAGACAGAAGGAGAACAGTACATAGATAAATTGTCTACACATTGTCCTGGCTCATGGTTATATTCTGTCAGCGTTGCTATAAGATTGTTTGTATTATCTCTCCTCATATGTTTATCGCATAAAAGGTTCAATATCACAACTGAACAGAAATGTTTGGCCAATATTTTGTAATTATTTTTTTGAACAATCCAAATTCCAAGTCCTTTTATTTACAATGTATTTGTTTCCGAGTTACATTTTCTGAGAATCAAATGCAATTATTTGATATAGTATACATCCAAATAAGTATACATCTATTACACTTTACTCTGCTTTAATGCCATCATTTCATACTACCTTTTATTCGTGCAGAGCAGACTGGAATAGATGCTGAAATTACCACACCTATGTACTAAATCAAGAATAGATTTTAAATCAAATCTGGACCAAAAGAATATAAATCGTGCAATACCTTAAGATTTATACCCCTACTAGTAGAGCTATAAAAAGGGTGCTTGTGTTCCCCGTTGCACAACATGCTCTTGTCTGTCTTTGCACCAGCTGAACCTCCAGCTCGGGTGGCTCAGTAACTGACCCACCACAGTGACAGAGAGGAGGACGACTCCCGTCCCGAGGGCTCAACACTGCAGAACAAGCTCTGTGCACGCAGTAAAGAGTATATCCTGAAAGAAATATGGTTAAATTCCAATACGAATACTGAGATATGTATGTCCCCAGGTTATATAGCCAGCCATATGGGTGCACTATGTGGAGATATGTAAAGTATGTAATAAATAAAAAACTTACAATTTGAACATACAAAAGCTCAAGGTTCTTTAGTGTTGTTATCAAGAGCTCAATCATTCATTTGAAGAGTGATGGAAATATTAATTTAAAAGTAAAGTTAATAACTCTTGTCTATCAATAATAATGTATCCAACCAAAATTCTAAAGCGAGTATTGCAGTAAAACAATACATTCAATCCCTAAATAAGATTTCACCCAAAAGAAGCTTAATTATTCTACTCAAAATAATGAATTACTTTTGGAAATCAAAGTAAGAACTTCAGTCCTAATAGATGAGCATGAACAAAGCCACCGTTGGGATTCAAAACCAATACAGAGCCTTTTATACAAGCCATTTCCTCGTACGTCAACATGACAGACCTCGGTTCTAATCAAAAGTTTAGCAGGCTGTTGTCATCTCCCTACAACACAGAACATAAGAAACTCAACTAGGGCTGCTGTTTGTTCAATCTATTGATCCATGTTGCCCCCACAGAGCGAGCGTGCTCACCTTCCACAGTAACCTGCACCTCCTGGCTGCGTCTCTGAGCTCCTGGTGGTCGGTAACTGAACACCTGTACCTGAGAAACCCAGAACATCAGAACAGCCCGGGCGGCATGATGCTGAGGCCTGTCTCTGCACATGTTGGGTTATAGCCTTTAGCCTGGCTGTCTCCACCTAAACCACTAAGTTTACAGCTTGGAAAACCCTCAATATAGTTCATTTTGAGAGGTTACAAGCTTGTGTTATCATTTGTAAAAGAGGTGACCATGTTTCCAGCAGGTTATAGGACAATTAAAGCAAGCAAGTCAAATTAAAATGCGGTCAACAGGTTTAAATATCATGGCTCTATTAGATTTTTGTCATGTTTACCCATTTGTTATATTGAATTATAGTTATATATATATACAAAGTATATATATATAGTATAGTTTAAGTATGTTTAGTAATTATACTCAACGTTATACTACTTTGTCTAGATTCGTAGTATAGTAGTGCATCCTTTCATGCAACCATTTTGTATTTGCGTAATGAGAAACTAGAAACTATACTGTGCTCAGACAAATTTGAAATCCTCTGAAATGTAGTATAAGTATAAAGTAGCACAACATGGTTATTACACAATTAGGCTACATGTAAGCCCATTTCCAAAGTGTAATTGTTTTAAAAAATATTATTCGGCGCTGGAGTAAATGTAGGCCAATTGGTTCAATTTCACCCCTGTGTAAAACCTGAAAAATGCCAAGGCACCGTGCATTCAAAAATAAAGGAACATTTAACTAGACGCATGTTGTTTTCCTTAATATAACAAACGCCCACAAAGCAAATCTGTCAGGAGTCCCAGCACAAATCAATTTATAAACACAAACCTGACACGTGTTTCAAAAGGTACAAGACAAACTACTTGAGTAATTCCATAAAGTACACCTACCTTGACTAATGTCCTGAAGCATGTCCTTCGGCTCAAGGCGTCTTCTCCACTGGAAACTGTGATGCCTCCTCTGGGGAAACTCGCCAAGGGTGGCACGGAAGTGATGAAAGGTGGGACAGGTGAGGCCGCAGCACCACATCTGAACCTTTTTGATGCCCTCTTTGAATATGTGCTGGTATCTGGCGCCTCCATGTGGAGTTACTGCAAGAAAACAACATTGCCCGGAGGCGGAAACAGCGAGTACGCAGCAGTGGTGGTTAGCAACATTCTCTCTACATCCATGCTAGCAACCAGCACAGACTACTGTGCAGAAAAATAGGTTTTTCACCTTCATTTGAACACTGAGAAGAACCTTTCCGCTTGACAGGATATTGATGTCATTTGGTGGAATCCAAAACGGCGGGTGAGTGCTTGAAAACGGGCAGTTTTTATATTTTTATCGTGGTATTTGACCGTCTAGATGCCTTCTGTTAGCAGGCTAGCTAACAGCCACTTTATGTAATCATGGCGGAGTGTTGACGGGCAGATTCGCACTGTTTCATGCTAGTTATTCTGTAGTTACGTGTTATATACATTTTAAAATAAAACATAGCGGTTAACAGTGTGCCTGCTCTGTATACTAAATCGAAATTAAATCATAAAAATCCATACAAGAATGAAAGGCTCACTTCTTCGATTTCAAAAACATCAACAATAAAAGTCAACGGCTAACGTCAGGTGTTTTCAGGGTACCTTAGGTCACCAGTGAAATAAAGGCTTACTTCAGCTATTATTTAGGGTACCTTAGATCACCAGTGAAATAAAGGTTTAGTTCAGCTATAAATGCTTGTGCTAATGTTTTGTTCTGTCATGTGTTTCTGTCCACACAGTCGCCGCAGCAAATGGGACCAGCCCGGCCCCGGCTCCGGCTCCAGTGGGATGGGGGAGGCAGAGTCTGCTCCCACCGGGGCTCTGGATGCTGCAGCTGCGGTGGCTGCCAAGATCAATGCTATGTTAGTAGCTAAAGGAAAACTGAAACCCTCACAGATAGGCGTCCCGGGACCCCCTGACAAGGTAATGAGGAGCGTGATGTGCAGATATGCCTGGTATTTTAAAATACAATCAGCTCTGTTGTTGGAGTATCTCGTATAGAGGTGGGCTATATGTTAATATAAGATGAGATAAGATAAGATAGTACTTTTATTGATCCCAATTTGGGAAATGTTTGTGTTGCAGCGGCATAAAATACATGGCATTGTACAATAAAAATTAAAAAGATTAGAATATACAGTATAGTGTGATATTTTATACATTTGTCAACAATGAGTAGGGAAATCCACACAGTATTTCATGTCATGTTGATCCTGATAATCATGAAAGTAGTATTAACACTTTTAAAATGGCACATAAACATACTGGAAACACGCAAGCAAACATGTCATTTACACATACATTTTCTAACTTACTGTCTGGCAGAAACTGATATTCTTGGGTCCCGATATAAATCACAAATATCTGCAAATTGCTGTCTTGACAATTTTTCTTCAACAACTGCTATTTATATTGTAAAATAATTATTCAGTGTTATCACAATGTTAAACACAAATTATTCGCATGGTCTGTTTTTTTTGTGACAGTGGCCCTAATTAATTTGGAGTGACTCATACTTTATTTCTTGACTACCCTCCTTTCTCAGGCTGTGGGTGTGTGGAAGCCTCCAGTTCAAACAAAAGCCAAAGATGACCTGGTCGTCGCTGAGGTGGAGATCAACGACGTCCCGATCAACTGCCGGAATCTGCTGACGCGTGGACAAACTCAGGATGAGGTCAGCACTCAGCAGCAGTACAAACAATCACCTTTCACAGAATGACAATCTTCACTGACTTTGTGGAGTATCTATTGACATGAATCCTATCTCACTTGTTTGTCTGCAGATCAGTAAAGTGAGTGGTGCTGCCGTATCAACCAGAGGCCGTTACATGGCGGCAGAGGAGAAGGGCAAAGCGTTACCAGGGTGACTCTCGCCTACTATTTTCAGATACTGATACAAAAAAACGAGTTATCCTGCTGCTTTAATTATTATATCTTAACACAACCTCTCTCTTTTTCCACAGGGATCGACCTCTGTATCTACATGTCCAAGGACAGACTAGGGAGCTTGTCGACAGTCAGTACTTTTTCCTAAATCTTTCATGATGTATGTCTTCATATATGATGTGATAAGACTAATGTTTTATTTCCCCCTCATTATCCAGGGGCAGTTAACAGAATCAAGGAGATAATCACCAACGGTGTGGTGAAGGCTGCAACTGCCTCATCATCCTCTTCATCTTTCCCCCCTGGTGGGGCTTCAGGCACAGTTTACCAACAGCACAACCTACCTCCTCCATCACTGCCCCCCATAACCCACCACAAACCACACTTTCAGTCCGGGGTGAGTCCGGTTTTCTTTTGTCTTCTTACAACTTGTGAACTAAGGGTACATCCACTCTTTTAGTGTTTATTCTGGACATGCAGAAACGTAGACAACAATTAATGATGACACACTCACCAACACTTAATTCCTGGGACTATCATTTACAAACGGCCTTTTCCGGTTTGTCATCCTCCTATCACATGACACTTTTTCTAAAGAAAACAGACATTAGCCCCAACTTATAGTGGTTAACTCAACACATATATATAAGAAGTTACAGGCACTTCTGACATTGTTGTCTATGATAACAGCTTTTGTGCAGTTCAATTCTGCATTTCAAATGCTATTGGTGTTTGTTGAGATTTGTGACAATTACATGGAGAAGCATGTGAACATCCAGTGTATGCGGTTAGGTGACATGCTTTTTAGTCATGTTAGTATAGACAACGTTTTTTTTTTTTTAAACAAACGTGAAGTAGTCCTAAATGATACTACCATGAAAAGCTTAGTATGAACTGAAAGTGTTGCACAATATATGTACTTGCCTACAGCGAAGGATATAGTTGTATTTATGCCTTTTATGGATACATTTCCTTTCTCAGATGCATTATGTTCAAGATAAACTCTTTGTGGGCCTGGAGCACGCTATCCCGGGGTTTGTGGTCAAAGAGCGTGTGGAGGGCCCCGGGTGTTCGTACCTGCAGCACATCCAGGCGGAGACTGGGGCCAAAGTCTTCCTCAGAGGAAAAGGATCAGGCTGTTTAGAGCCTGCTTCTGGACGAGAGGCCTTTGAACCCATGTACATCTACATCAGGTGGGTGTCCTATTAGTCAATAAAGATTAAGAACATCTGCTTTTCAGAGAGGGTTCCTGCTTGTGCAATAATATGAACTGGATGAGCACAAAGGTTCAGTAGAACTAAATGCAGTCTGTTTTCTCTCCAGTCATCCTAAACCAGAAGGACTTGCAGCAGCAAAAACTTTGTGTGAGAACCTGCTTCAGACGGTGAGTAATTTCTTGTTACTTTGAAATGTTAAACTGCAATACTTTCAAAACGAGCATGTACATCTCCAAATGCACGCTTACTCTCCCAAGCACAATCATAGCTATCAACCAACTTTGGCCCTTCTAATTATTATACAATATTCCATAACAATGATACGTTAGATTTTACACTTTTTGCGTTGTCTTTAAATAATGATATAATAGTATCAGTATCAATAGTACATTGTTATATTTTAATTGAACCACTAACAAGCCTTACATACAATGCTTTTCTTCCTCTAGGTCCATGCAGAGTATTCCCGCTTTCTCAATCAAATGAGCTCAATGATGCCAACACAACAAGGTACACTATACCAGTTTTTCAAAGTTGGTGTGTTCATCATTTGGTCTTTAGGGGACATGTCAGTGATGGTACTGGGCAAGACTTGCTTTTAGGGCTGTCAAGTTAACGCGTTAATAACGCGTTAACGCAAAAAAAAATTAACGCCACTAATTATTTTAACGCGATTAACGCATGTGTATTTTTTGTCCTCGGCCGCCGTAGTTTCAGAGCGCATCAAGTTTAAAAAAGCATCTACAAGCTGATGCTGACAGCCCCGCTCCTGCCGCCCGCTTGTGGCAGACCACACTTCCACGCTCACCGGCAGGCCCGGACTGGCCATCGGGGAGGACCGGGAGGGTGTGTGTATGTGTGGAGCGACTCGTGAGCGAGGCACACCTTACGTGTTGTTGTTAGCATCTGGTGCTAGCTAGCTGCGCTAACGGATATAAGGAGCTGTTTCAATGAAAACAAAGGAGCGACATTTCGCCGACAACTGCGCCGAGCACTTGACTTTATGCAGGTAGCCAGACAGAGGGACATTGTACGAAAAGTCAGCACACTCACCACGGATAGTGCGCGCAACATTATTGCAGCGTCCAGGCAGCTCCCATTCGAGCATATATGCCTTGAGCTGCACATAGCTCCAACGATCCATCACAGTACACACACACACACACACACACACACACACACACACACACACACACACACACAACACACACACACACACACACACACACACACACACACACACACACACACACACACACACACACACACACCACACACACACACACACACACACACACACACACACACACACACACACACACACACACACACACACACACACACACACACACACACACACACACACACACACACACACACACACACACACACACACACACACACACACACACACACACACACACACACACAGTATTTTATGAGAGAGGTTCCAGGTTGAATTGAGGCGAATATTTGTAATGTTCAGAGGTTGTTGTGTTTAATATTCATGAGAATATTTGTCATTGTTCAAATGATAATAAACAAACATATAAAGCATATTTGTCCACTCATATGTTGATAAGAGTATTAAACACTTGAAAAATATTTCTCTAAGGTACATTTAGAACAGATAAAAAATGTGCAATTAATTTGCGATTAATCGCGATTAACTATGGACAATCATGCGATTAATCGCGATTAAATATTTTAATCGACTGACAGCCCTACTTGCTTTATATTACTACTTTAACTAAATTAACCCTGAACCGACGTGTGACTGGAAGGACGTCGGTTAAATAAATACGTTAACGGGAGTTGTCTTTCTGTGGTTTAGATGTATCACTTGATTTGGCAACACAGCTGATAGAAGTCATGGGAAGAGCCTGACTTCATCTGTTTCTCTCTCTTCCTCCTCCAGGCTTTGCTCAGCCTCAAATGGTGAATGGAATGCCTCCGCAGCCTCCGTATTACCCCCCCGCTGGATACCAGCAAGGCTACGCTATGCCTGTACCACCACCTCAGCCACATCCTGTCTCTCTCCCTTACACTGTCCCTCCCCCTTTACATCCTGCAGGCGTGCCTCCTCAGTACTCTCCCTCCCCCCCCGCCCCCCTCCCTGCTCCCTCACACTCCCTCGCTCCGGCTCCTGCCCTTGCACCTCCTGCTTCAGGCACGATGCCACAGGTAGGATCGAGCCATTGAAACCACACGTGTGTAGCATGCAGAGCAACAATACTTACTAAATGTCTTTCCATCTCTGCAGACTCTTCCTCCTGTACCTTTTCCTCCATCAGCTGCAGCGCCACCCAAAGCTCCACCTGCTGCCGCTCCAGTCAACCCACCTCAGAAGAGACGCTTCACAGAGGAGGTCCCAGACGAGAGGAACAGCGGCCTACTCGGATACCAGGTAATACACAGCTCTACACCCCTCATGATTCTGCTGGTTTTTACTTTGCACCCTTCTGTTTAGAGCTGCCATTAGTCAATAAACAGCAAAATCATCACTAACCATTTTGATAATGTCACGATTTTCACTATTTCCTGACATTTTATAGATCAAAAGATTGATTAATCAATCTATATACAATTGGCCGATTAATCGACTAAATGATGGTTAGTTGCAGCTTTACAGTTTTCCTTTTTTCACATAGTTTCTTGGCCTTTGTTTTATATCCCAATGCTTTTACCGAAGTGCATGTGTGTGTAAAGTCACTTCATTGAATCAGCCCATCACATCAAAGCTGTCTTTGGCGATTTATCTAATACCATTCCATTTTCCTTTCTTTAAATACTTGACCTTCATTGGTTAAGAGTGCATGGCTGTTTCCTGATGCTGTGCATTTCCAGTTTATCTTTGTCTTTAATACGGAGTTTCAGAAAAAGGTCTTTTTAATACTGATAAGCTTCAAGTATCTTTCATAGTGGCTGGGGACAATGTCTGAGTAATCAGACTTGTGGTAAGCTATTCACAATGATTTTTGCCTTTGGTACTGATAAAGTTGTTAGACACATTAGTTAGTGTCAGGACAGGGTTTAGTGAAGGATGTGTGCTAATCGCGCCTGTGTGTTTTTCTGCTCATAGCATGGACCCATTCATATGACTAATTTAGGTGCAGGCTTCCCAGTGGGCAGCCCGGAGACTGCAGGACCCCCAACACAGAGTTCCTCTGGCCCACCGAGTGAGAGGGACAGGTACACAGAGTTCTGTTATATCTGTTTAAGAAAGGCCACCATCCATCAGCCAATGATCAGACCCAATAATTCTTATGCATCATTTACGTTTACGCACAGACAATTATGTCATAGCAACAAACTCATTATGTCATCGCTTTGGAAGTTCCTCAACATGTGTAAGTCCAAATTGACATGGAAGGACCTTTTAAAAAAACAAGGCTTTGACATCCTTAAGGTCCTGTAACTTAGTGCCATTATAAAGAAATGTATGTACTGTATGATTGAATTGAAATGTTCAGTGAAAGAGATGTTGCCAATGTGTTAGTGTATGCTGTCAATTCTAGGTCTGACAATCTGAATTGGCAAAAATATCAGATGATGCAATTGGCCAAGTAAATTGCAATGGTTGTATCTCTTGATTATATGTATAATGTGCCAGTAAGCGGAGTTAACTCACCCCATTTCTCTTTGGTTCTCCAGTCGGCAGCTAATGCCTCCACCCCTGCTGCCTGTGAACGGAGTGAGACCCAAGATGGAGGAGAAAAGAGCACCGCAAGGCCCCGTGGGTAAGGGCATTATCATGTGGACTGACAAATCCCTGCCCAAATCCAAATCCACAGTTCCTGACTGTGGACTGTGTCCTTTATAAGCTCAGCCTGGATCTATTCTCAGACTTAATGTAGGGCCGCAAGAGGAAAATGTAAATCCTGTAAATCCTCTCCGGGGCCACTTCAGTGGTTTTACTTGAAAGTATTGAAGAGGTATACTGTATATGTTACATAAAGCCCAAGTAGATGTATAAAGAAGACTTAGCTGGCCCTAAAAAGCTTGTATTTCTTTGGGTTTATATATTAAGTGTTTGTGGCACATTAGATAAATACCCCCACCCTCTCTATTGGGCTTCTTATGATCCATGCAGGATTCTGCTGCTGTGACTATTAATCTCCAGATAGTGAGGCGGAGCTATGAATCAACATTTTTTGTGCATTGTACAATCCTTTGTCTGATAAATCGAGTCAACCTTGCCGTCCCGTTCTGATGACATCATCAGTCCGGGGTTTGTCCATAGTTTCTTTTTGCTTTCCTCACTAACAAGAATCTCTCCTGTTTTTGTGTTTTTCTCTTTTTCCCTGTGTTCTTCTTCTCTTCCATGTATCTCTGGGATGATGCTGGATTCTGATTGGGGGTGGGGTACGACTCGTCATGCTACGCTGCCGCTCGATTGGACGGCCCTCACACTGTCGCTCCCCACCAACCAATGGCGAATGACTGCCCTCTCCTCTACCCTACTGACAAACTATGATTTAAATCTATTAACTATTTGTTTCTCCCAAAATGTGTTTGGAATAATGAACTTAAATCTGTCCTATTGGAAACATGTTGCTGCTGTTTTGTGTTGGGTTTTTTCTCTCCCCATGTTTCTCTCTCCAAATGTGCCGCCTCTTCCTCTCTTCTGCGTGCTTCCTCTCTTCTTCTTTCAGAGCCCTCGGTGAAGAGAATGAAAACTGGTTTGGTGGCGTACAGCGGCGACTCCTCTGATGAAGAGGAGGACCACTCAACCTCCAAAGCCTCAGGGCAAGGTAACCCTGGGGCAGCCCCCCCCACCTCCTCAGTCTGGACTCAGGGCTACCACTGCCCTCCTCCCCCGCTCCCCCGTGCTAAAACACAGCCACAGCAGCAGTCCATGCCTTTCTGGATGGCCCCCTAAAACAGGAAGAATCTAAACTCCGAGTCTTACAGGATGTTCACCCAAACCGTCTTTTTTCCTCCACTCATCACAGGGATGACTCCCTACGTGTTGGTTGCAGCATTGAGTTAGTGCTTGGGTCTAAATGGGCATTCTAATGTTTTGGAGGACTGTTTGTTTAGCACATTATAGTTTGAGGATGAACACTTGCAGGAAGGACAATCCAAACTATTTTGTGGCTGTATATATCAGCTGAGCGATATTCTGCCTGCAGTTTTATTTAGAATGGTCCGGAAAACAATGCCAAGTGAAGTGTTGGAAAGTGTTACTTTGTTACAAAACAATATCTAAAGGCAATGATGTTGCACATCACTGACCACTTTTTCTTTTTATCCCTAGTACAGCTTTTTGTACTTTGTCACCCCCTTTCCTTACTCCCTGTCCTGAAGTCAGTGACACCAACTCTTCCTTTTCTGGTGATTTTGTACAGATCATATTGGACTAATATGTAGTAAACCTATTTAATTTATTTCATGCTTTTATGAAATAAATAAACTTAATTTATTGCTGTGTTTGAGCTTGTCTTTCTTTGTAAGGTCTATTTTTTTCACATCATCAACACCTCCCATCTGCCAAAATCTGTCAACAGTTCTGCTTGCCAAAATAAAAAGTGGATTAAGTGACAAACTTGCTGCAAATCACCAAAAACAGACCTTTTCTTCATGAAAAACATGAACTTTAAAATGTGGAAGAAAAATAATTTTAAGCAGTCCAACTTAAAATCAGTACATAAGTATTTTCATTTCCAAAACTATATTACAAATAATGTCCACAATACTTATATTGTATAATGCTATTATTAGAGCTATGAAGGACTGACAGTTGAAACGGACACCTGCACAGTTTTAAACCATCTCTATAGCTGGCTCTCTCGGAGGGTTTTTCTCGTTATGCTGAGCGATGCGGCTCTCCATGACCGGCCGGAAGTGGCGGATCAGACCCTGTAGATGAGAAATGAAAAGCAAAGAGGGATAAAGGTGTCAAAATATAAATTGGTTCTTGTTTGAACTTGTACCCTTAGTCACTGTTTCACTGACAGCTATACAAACACTCCAGAGATGTTACCTGCACGGGCCAGGCCGCCCCGTCCCCCAGGGCACAGATGGTGTGCCCCTCGATCTGCTTGCTGAGCTCCCAGATCATATCGATCTCTGAAGCTGCTGCGTCTCCTCGAACAAACCTCCACATCATGCTGTCCATCCAGTCCACTCCTGAGGGGCGGGACAGAGAGGAAACCTTTAACCATTGTTTCAACCACATACTGGATTTCTGGCAAATACACACATGGCAGGAATAACGTACCAAAGAAATAACAGTAATTTTCTCTTCACACATTAGGTTCATTTAGTTTAATACTTAGCAATTCTAATTTCTAAAGAAGTACAAATGGTGAATGCAACACCATAGTTGAGCCCTGCCCTCAATTTCCCAATGTATTTATTGGGGTTTCAGTACACTTAGTAATATAATAATTGACATACTATTGTTTGCAAAAAAAAGTAAGGAAATCACAATGAAAATGAAAAAAACAAGGGATGATAAGATGGAAATGGCTGTTTAAAAAGTCACATTTTCCCACAGTATACCTCTTCAAGTATTAATCTTCTTGCTAGTAGTATTTTTAAATGACAGTAGTGTTTATTTTGACATAAATATAAATACAGGGATGCAAACTTGTCACCTTTCGGCGAAATTCGCCGTTTTGATTCCAAAATAGGTCGTTTGTGTGATTCATGTAGATCTGCAATAAAAATATTTTTGGGGTATGGGGGGGGTCTGGGACCCGGAGTAATCTGCGGCCGCGAGCTGTTATGTGCCATCATGACACGCATGGTGTTCTTTTTTTATATATTATAATGAAGCGCGAGCACAAGTCTTCCTGCCTGTCAGCTCTGCTCATGGATGTATAATAAGGCTCTGCTGCTCCGGGATGAGGGTCTAGCTTCAGCAGCTACATTACCTACGGTGCGTTCGTTAATATTAACTGTGCGGTCCAGAGTCACTGTGGCACAGACTGGACCGCTGGTTAGAACGGGGTGTTCAGAGCAGCAGAGCGTGATGTGCACTGAAAAGTGTTTCTGTCGCAATATTATTTAATGAATCGTTGAGCTAGCTAACTAGCATACATTGTCACTATCTGCTAACGTTAGCTTTAGCCTTCGTTTTCAAATAGTTTCTTTCATAGCCTATAAACGGAGGTGGTATAAGTATCTTGTACTTGAGTAAAAGTAGAAGTACTCAGATCTTGTTCTTGAGTAAAAGTTGAAGTATTCAGGTCTTGTACTTGAGTACAAGTAGAAGTACTCAGATCTTGTTCTTGAGTAAAAGTAGAAGTACTCAGATCTTGTACTTGAGTAAAAGTAGAAGTACCAGAGTGTAGGAATACTCTGTTACAGTAAAAGTCCTGCATTCAAAATGTTCCTCAAGTAAAAGTAGAAAAGTATTATCATCAAAATATAGTTAAAGTAGCAACAGCAAAAGTAGTCATTGTGCAGATTGGTCCATTTCAGAATAATATATATGATATGTTTTATAATGATTGATCATGAAAGTGTTCTCAAAGCTGGTAAAGGTGCAGCTAGTTTGAATGACTTTGTATACTGCAGGGTAGCTTGTGAGTTTACTCCAGGTGGAACTAAAGTCTGATTTAACACTTGATTATATTTCACATCATTCATCCACATCTGTGAAGTAACTAAAGGTATTCAATACATGTAGTAGAGTAAAAGTACACCATTTACCTCTGAACTGTAGAGGAGAAGAAGAACAAAGTAGCAAAACATTGAAATACTTAAATAAAGTACAAGTATCTAAAAATTGTACCCAAGTATAGTACTTGAGTTTATGAACTTAGTTACTTTACACCACTGGCTATACAGATAGAAAGACAGCCTTGCACAGAGGCATGAAAATACATTTTCAAAATGCTCAACAGTCCTGCCAAAATTATAAACTGACTGCTCCACAATTAAAATAAATGCTTAAATATATTTCTATTAGATGTGACTCTTTGGCGTTTCTGTTATTATTAACTGCTGCTTTAGTTGTTCTGACTGCTAAAATCCTCTGTTATTCCTCATTTTAAAGCCGATATTCCGTGGGGTCGGGGGGCTCGGATCCTTGTCACCTTTTTCATACCTGATGAGTTTGCATTCCTGTAAATAGATTTAGTATTTCTCCCACCTAACAAGTAATGTGTTGATAGTAAAAGTTAAGGGAGATCTATTATACTATACTATTATATATAATGACTTTAAGCACTTCTCTCACGGAGTGTTGTGTACAGAGAGAAAGACGTCCAAAACAATAGTGAGGCCCTATTGTTTCTAAGAAAAATAAAGGTGAGGGTATGCATTATATAGTAAATGTAACTTCATGGTGGTGACTCTTGGTTCATTGTGCTGTTCCTCACCCTCTCTGCAGGGGGTGCACTGGCCACAGCTCTCATGTTTGTAGAACTCCACCAATCGTGCGATGGCTCGGATCACGTCAGTCTGGAGGAAAAAACACATTTCTCAGAATATCTTTCCAGACTGATTGTTACTGGGGTTAGAGTGTCATGTGAGTTATTCAGGGATCAGTTTACCGATTTATCCATAACTATGATGGCAGCGGTTCCCAGTGCTGTCTCTGCACGGACCAGGTCATCAAAATCCATCAATACATCATTGCACACATGGCGAGGGATGATGGGAGTGGAGGACCCCCCTGGGATCACTCCTAATAGATTATCCCAGCCGCCCCTCACCCCTCCTGAACCAAACACACAAGAAGAGAGAAGAAGTCATGTCAACCTCTGATAAAGTAAACTACTGTACACACACACAGGCGCGTGCACACACACACCCACCCACCCACCCACACACACACACCCACCCACACACACACACACACACACACACACACACTACACACACACACACACACACACACACACACACACACACACACACAACACACACACACACACACCACACACACACACACACACACACACACACACACACACACACACACCACACACACACACACACACCACACACACACACACACACACACACACACACACACACACACACACACACACACACACACACACACACACACACACACACACACACCTGCGTGTCTCTCTATGAGCTCCCTCAGAGGAATAGACATCTCTTCCTCCACCGTGCATGGTGTGTTCACGTGACCCGAGATGTTGAACAGCTTCGTCCCGGAGTTCCTCTCCCTCCCAAAGCTGGCGAACCAAGCTCCCCCTCGACGACAGATTGCAGGCGCCACAGCAACCGTCTCGACGTTGGCAACCGTCGTCGGGCATCCAAACACCCCTTAAAGGAGAGAGATGAAGCATTGAGTAATCACTTAAGCATTGATGGATTACTGAGTGGGCCTACCGGGCACGCCCAGGGCCAAAAGTGTCATTGACCCCCTTGCCTTCACCTGTAAAAAGTCATCAACCAGGAAGAGACTAAAGCTGACCTTAAAGAAACATTAAAAAACTACAAAAAGTCTAATACAATCACAAAAAAATTGCTTAATAGAGCCTAAATATAATAAAGACATTTCGACACTATGTTACGGGGCAAAACACAACCTTCAAAAGACACAAAATAACCAAAAAGAGAAACAGAAAGGCTTTCAGAAGGGGCACAACAAACAGACAGAAATAAGACCAAACCAATTAAAGAGTAACACAAAGAGACATAAAACCAGAAGGAGATGTGTACTGACTACACAGAGACACACAACAACAACTAAAAGAGGCTGAACAAAAATAAAGTCTGTGTGTCTTACTCCTTTGTAGGAGAAGTGGTGGGGCCTTTTCCGAGTCAGTACACAGAAGCCCTTTATCTCGTAATCCAACCATGCACAAAAGGACTGTACTGTAACTACAATATAGCCTGAGTTTGCAGTCTCTGAACTGCAATTAACTCC